ACCCCAGTAGAAAGGCAACAAAACTCACTTTAGTCTCTAGTTCTAAGTGTTTCCACCCTGAAGAGAACCTCACAGCTTTCTACCAGTAAGGAGATTTTTTCCCTTCCTTCCTTCCTTCTTTCCTTCCTTCCTTCCTTCCTTCCTTCCTTCCTTCCTTCCTTCCCTCCCTCCTTCATTCCTTTACTTTCTTTCTTCTACATCATTTATTCAAATTTCCTTGAGAATTCTGTGTTGCTAAATTATACTTCCACATAACAATACAACCTCTTTTCCATTTGAAATGGTAGAGACACATGGATACTCTGACCAGCAGTATGAAGAATTTTTTGTTTTTTCTGATGTGATAAAATGTGTTCAGGGTCATTTCCATTTGACCCCTCTAAAGTTATGGGCAGTTTTTTTCAAGTTGTTTTTCTTAGTGATCATGGGCTCTCTTGATTGTTCAGGGATCTCTGATTGGGGATCCTTGGCTGTTCTATAGCTTCTTCTCACTGAGCTCCTCAGTGCCACATTGAAATTCTCAGTCTTTCACTTGTAGCACATACCCTTGCAGGGAGGCAATCAGATCACTGAATGCGGAAAACCTGGCTGGGGTCACCATCAAGTTCAGGTTTTAAGTACACCCGTGTGCTACCATTCCCGATGCTTAACAAATATAACACCACAGTGAATGATATGTAGCATGAGTAACTAGAGGTTCACAGGGCTAAAATTTACATATTAAAGACTGCTTCCCTCAACTTTGGTGATCAAGAACTGGATCTGTCCCTTATTTTCTAGCTTCTTTCCTGACCATCACTTAGATGGACAGACCTCAGTGACCTGGTCTCTGTTCTTACTTTATTTTCTCTTTAAAAACCCATTTTTAGGAATAAATCAGTCTTCAAATAAAGGGTCTCAGAGTGTGGAGTATCGAACCCTTTTTACCAGAATCTACTGGGCTCTTATTTTAAAGTTAGATTTCTAGAAGTGGCAATTGACTATGTACATACCTTCACACAGAGTGGGGGTATGGAAGTTACTTTCTTGTTTGGTAATCTTGGCCCTGAGGTCAGATGCGTTTTCATTTCCAAAGTCTGTTCATTCCCAATGCAGGCTGAGAACCACTGCCCAGATCCCAGCATCTTTTATCCTTCTATCAGAAACAGATATCCTCTCCCACTTCCAGCTTTGGCATTTCCTATCATTTAAGTCTGTGGCCAATCTCTGAGTTCAGTGAGGGAAGCGGAAAGCAGATGTCATGTCAACCCTCTTGTTTCTCTCCCTTCTCTTCCTTTCCCTCCTTATTGGCTCCTATGTCTAATACTCTCATCTCTCTAACTCCAAAGGAAAATGTCTGTGGCACTCAGTAAATATAAGGGTGGAGGAGTACTTAGAGAACATGTTCTAAAGGTATCTGTGACTGTGCTACAACCCATTTGGGCACTGTTTAACCCATTCCTCTTTAAAAAAATACAATTAGCAGCAAGCTAAAATAATGACTGAAGCCAACCACTGTATATATATATCAGTGATTGGAATGACATAAACCGACACAAACAATACCATATGAAAACATAGTCATGAAGACTTTCAGAAGTGAACTTGTATTTCCTATATTTTTTTTCCCTTTTAACTATTACAGCCTACTTTGGTTCCTGAGAAACCCACAGTGTGTTTTCTGTAGAGACCAGCACTGGTATGACTTTAGTAGAAGGTAGAAGTTTGTAATGAGGCATATAACTTCAGGAAAGCAAGGACAAACAGGCTGGGGCACTCATGAAGTGAGATGACAAGTAGCTGGCCCTGGTCCATGAGCATTGCCATAATTAGGATATGTTAACAGACCCACTGCTGGTACAGAGCTTTCTTCATATCCATGTATGTCAGATAAACTTAGAACATGAATTCTAGTTTTTTTTTTTTTTTCCAGAAAAGAATTAGTGAAAAAACATGCCATTTCCCGGAAAGTATTCGGAGCTTTGTTGTTGAGCAATCTCTTTAAATGGTGATAGCTTAAATATTTACCAGGAACTTTTGGGCAACTCCCATCTTTCAGGAAAAGACTTTCTTTTGAATCTATTCCAGGCATCTGGGTCAAAGTCCTCACTCATCAGGTAATTCCAAGGTGAACTACATTTCTGCATTAGCTATGTCCTGTTCTTTCCTTCCTTGCTTTCAGCACAGGATGGCACAGCAATGTCCTGCCTGGCTTGATAGAGGGATCGAGCGTTGTGGGAGAAGAGTACCCACTACAACAGTTTTGCCACAAAAAAAAAAAAAAAAAAAAAAAAAAAAAAAAAATCCATTGGAAAAACTCCCTATGTCCTAGAGCAACTTCAGTCATTTTAAAACCTGGATGCCAGTTTCATACGAGCTGTAATGGCTGCAGATTTGCCTCGCTGGATTATGTGTCAGCAGAATGGACTTATTTTTCATAACAAACATAACATTACCCAATGAGTGGTTATCATAATAAAAATCAGTGCCTTCTCCCTTTGTGTTGCATTTGTGTAAGAAATGGTAGGATTTTCTGGTTGTTAACATTCAACCTTTTGCTTAAAGACATTGGACGCTTAAAAGAAGTCCCAGGGTCTCAAAGAATACCACTTTTGGACTAGGTCTGAATGCCATATCTACTAAAGAGTGCAAGGGTTCCCATTTTCAGGGCTATTTCAGAAAAAACATCCCTTTTCTTGTTTGTTTGCTTATTTTTTGAGACAGGGTTTCTCTGTAGCTTTGGAGCCTGTCCTGGAACTCATTCTGTAGATGAGGTTGGCTTTGAACTCACAGAGACCTGCTGTCTCTGCCTCCCGAATGCCACTACCTCCTGGCACCACATCCCTTTTTTGTCTAATAGTGGTGTATGTTGTACTTCATAAATGTCTTCTTGTACATGAGCATTGCTTAATCCCAGTGTGTGCTTACGCATCGAGTCACACGGAAGGAGAATTAGTTCAGCTCATTAAACAGACAGCAGAACACCCAGATAAACCAAATACTCTGTGGTGTGTCCTTTCCAGCAGCCCTTAGCTCACTCTCATCTGGGGTGAGCTCTTGTTTCTCTACATTCCTCCTCACTGTTGTCAGAAGGATACCAACTGTTTTCAGTTAAGTGGTGAAGAAGGCAGAAGACCCAAACATCCCATAAGAGTATGCACCACAAGATGGTTACTTCCCAGTATTTATTTACTCTTTAGAGTTGCTAGGTTAAAACCAAGTCTTTTGTATTTTCCAGAGCCTGCTTTAGGATTTATTCCAGGTCTTTGCTGAAATGAGATCCCTGAACTTAAACCAGGGCACCATGACTGAGAGTCCTCGGCTGATCATTGGCCTGCCAGCCTGACACTACAGGTCTTCCAAATGGCTAGTACCCACACAGACTAACCCCTACACATGGTGGGGCAACATGACTAAATAATGGAGATGCAAAGGACAAAAGGCATGGACCAAAAACTATCCAGTGGATGTCATGTGACCTGTAGTAACTCCTATCTACCAATGTCATTAAATTCACAGGAAGGGAATATGTGTGGATGTGAGAGGGAAAAAGACATTGGAAGAGACTGGGTAATTTCCTTGTGTTTTTACATCATGGATTTCCACTTTCTCTGTGGACATCCCCAAATATGTAAAACTAGAAGTTTTCTACCTTCTAGCTGCTGATAACAGTTCACCTAAATCAGGGGTCAAATAGCAGAAGAAGCTAACAGTGACATGAGATTTTTGTCATTCCAGTTTATTGAATGAGTAAATTTATAGCTTTATTTGCATACAGAAAAGTGCACAAGGAAGACAGGTACATACAAAACAGGTGTGTGGCTGATCATTCTAAAAATTTCAGCCATCTAGAAATAGTTACCTCCAGTTTAGCAATCTTTAGGTATTTGGAATTTTAAAGTATGATTTCAAGTCTCTGTTTATAACAGCTAAATAGGAAGTTAGACAGGAAGAAAAAAATGATTAGCATTAAACAGAAACCCACAGGACTTCAGCTTGGATTGCTTGGGACTAATCAACAGAGGCTCACAAGACCAGCTTCTTGTTTAAACCCTGAGCAGTCATCTTCCACCAAAAGGTAAGATTATATTAACATCCACAAGACCTGAACATTAATGGTCAACAGATAGCATTAAAAAAAAAAATTCAACATAAACTAAAGGTTTTGGCAGGAACAAACTCTTCAATCCTGTTTAACAAAAAAAAAAAAAAAAAAAACAAAAAACAAAAAAAAAACCCAAAACAAACAAAAAAAAACCCCAAAAACCAAAACAACAAAAACCCAACCAACCAACCAAATTAAAAAAACCCAAAACAAACAAACAAACAAAAAAACAAACAAACAAACAAACAAACAAAAAACCAAAAAAGACCCCTGAAAATGAAAACACACTGAATAGGTTTCCAAGGTTATGAGGAAAATACTGTAGGTAGATTTTTCAATGATAGTTCCAAACATTCATCCACCATCCTTTCTCTTCTCATTTATTATTGTCTTAGTAACTAGATGATAGCTGCGTCAAGGAAGTTTTTTAATTACATGAGAAAGGCATAATGCAACCTCCACTCAGGACCCAGTGTGTTTGGTACGGTCACTTTAGCTTTCTGAATATAGTCCTTCATGACTGAGCTGGGTCCGGTAATCACTCCTGTGTTAAATTGCTCTTCAGAACTTCAAGAGAATGGCCCTCCAGTCCATATGGAGGATGAGGATGGTGTACCTTCAGAAGTCTAGACATTGAACTAACAAGGACTGGAAGTGGGGGGAGGGGTACTCCAGATCTGTGAGTCATTTAATGTTTTTTGACCTATGAAAATATGTTCCTGGTAAAGATCTGTTCCTGGGTATTGTTTATACAAACCCAGGAGCAAAATGGACCGAGAAAAGCATGGGAGACAAAGACAGGGAGTTATAAACAGCTCTATTTTCTCATTTAAAATAGCCAACAGGAGATAAAAAATGGAATAGCCTAGGTCCTGGGAGAAATCATCAGAATGAAGAGAAATTATACTTCTTTAAGTAATGCACACAATAATCATCTTTATTGAGAAAAAAATCACATGATATGAAATTAGGATCATCAAGGAAAATTCAGGCCATAAGGTCACCAGGGTCAAACAGCTGTAAAATGCCTGGAATGAAAACAATTTGAGGCCCCAGGGAGAAATGAATTGTTTCATGAGCTTTGAATAATGCCTTATGTTTGGAGCTAGAATTTCCTCCTCTTCAAGTCTACTGTAAGCACCTCTTGGGGCAGGATTGGTAAATGACACAATTAGAGGAGAAATATCATTATAGAGGGAAATGGTCATCTTGTGATGGTTCTGTGTGCTTTTGAGAAGTTAGTCTTGCTTTCAATTTACTCATCAAAAAATTCTTTCTGAGTAGGAATGGGAAGCAAGATGTCTGCTGTCCTATTAGTAGAATGTTTAGGTTTAAGCTGCACACTAGGAACTCCGAATGACTTTGAGGTATGAGGATTTGGACATTTACTCAAGGCAGTGTGATATGAAGGGCTAAAGTGGCCAGACCCCACAGCTGTAGGGTAGAAGGCGGAATATTCTGGAATGTTCTATGGGTTCAACAGACAAGGCTTTGGCAGGGAAGCTACTTCATTTATATTTGAGCTAGAGAGTTTAGGAGTTTAATTTACGTAAAGCCATAGTTTCAGTTTAGCTTCAGCCTAGGCAGAAAATGAAAGGCATTTTACAAGAGGCAGAGACAAGTAAGGCAACAGATACTAGGTCAAAGGTGGGACAAGGACAGAGGTCAGCACGTTTCTGGCTATCAGCTTTGTCCTTGGCTCAAGCCAGTCTTTTGTCCCTCTGGAGAGTCAGCATTACATCTTCCTAGAGAAACATGGAGAAGATTGGTTAGGATGTTTGGGTTGACTACCATTGCATTACATATTAAAACATCATTTTCAAATGTTACTGACAGTACATCCCAGGGCTGATATGAGGATAGGATAGAATAGTACCACCCACTAGATATGACAATGCATGCTGATGACTTCAGCACTCAGAAGGCTGAGGAAGTAGGCACAAGGTTTCAAAGTTAGCCAAAATTATATAGTAAACCAAGGCCAGTCTGAATTAATGTTGAGTCCCTATATCAAATACACCTATATTTCTAAGGAATTATCTGAACAGGAGTAACTGAACTGGGAAGACCCACCCTAAGTATGGGGTGGGGATCCTTGTGATGGGATCCTGAAGTAAGTAAGGAGAAACAAGCTGGCCTTCACAACTCTCTGTTTATTGACTGATGATGCAATGAGATAAGCTGGTCCATGTTCCTGCTGCCATGACTTTCTCCATCATGATGGACTGAACCATGAACCCTTCATTTCTTGGGTTGCTTTTGTTAATCATTTTGTTGCAGGAACAGGACAAGGAAATAATACAACACCCAAGCCATGACCAGTAAAGGTTATTGTTATTATTTTCTACTATTAATCTCTGTACCTAATTATCAATAACATTTTAGTCACTTATATATAATAAAAACCAGGTTGGTACTAAATTGTAATTCATGGTTTCAGAAATCGTCAGGGAAATTTGAAATGCATTCTCCATGGATAATGGGAAATAAATATTATTGTATGCAAGGAAGTTAAATATCACAGATAAATCAAAATAGAGTTTAACCTTGCTTGGATGAGGAAATATTGAAATAAAATGGCTTTGGATTCATCCCATTCATTTTATAGTTCTATCATTTCTGGCTGTGCCTTCTCTAACATTCTAGGGTTTCATTTTTCTCTTCACTTCCATGTCATGAGATTAGAACACAATTGGTGCCAATTATTGATGAAAAGAGCAGATGACATGAAGCCCTGGTGGAGACTCAGCTTTCTTAGGATAAAGTCACTAGAGATAGCATGCTCAAGCCTCTCACTCACTTTGAACTTTAGACTGTCACTGGTGTCAGGGTAACACATCCCACCACAGGGACCAATTTGAGATTACCATTGAGGAAAGAAATGAAAGAGGAGTTGTATTATCATCAAAAAGTCCTTCAAACTTGGACATTTTATAGAGATCCAAATTGCTACCAGGATTCTTCCCCTTCAACATGAGTCTTTTTTTTTTTTTTTTTTAAGTAGGTCTGGAGATGTAGCTGGGAGAGTGCTTCATTCATGAAGTCCCAGGTTTGATCTCCAAAGACTACATAAAACTTGGTGTAGTGGTGCCTGTCTGTAAACCCAGCACTTAAGAGGAGGAGGAAGGGGCAGGAGATCCAGAAGAAGATTATTCTCCATTATAGAGTTTGAGGCCATGTTCTATTGAATGTACTTCCATATAGAACTGAAGTATCAAAATCACAGATAGAAATTTGTGTGTCCTAGATTGATTACTGCTTGTAGGAATTACTTTCCTAAATGCTCAGCCTCATTACTTCCAAATTATACATACTTAGCCACTTTCCAATTCTAAAAATAAAACCTCACCCTTTACCCTCTGTATCACAGTTTCTCACCATTCACCCACTGTGAGAAAATGCTAAGTAGGTTCTCCTACTTACAGAAGTTAGGCAAAAGGATTTCCAAAAGGGCTCCTGTGGGCATCAGAAGATGCAGGCTGAGAAGCCACCTAAGAGATAAAAACAATACAATGAACACTATTATAGTCATAAGAAAAAAAATACATGATTAAACCTGTCATTTAAATATCACTTAGCTAAGTGGTTGTCAACCTTCCTAATGCTGTGACCCTTTAATACAGTTCCTCATGTTGTGGTGACCACCAATCATAAAATTATTTCATTACTGCTTCAGAACTTCAATATCAATACTGTTAGGAATCATAATGTAAATGTCTGATATGCAGGATATCTGACATATGACTTCTGTGAAAAGGTCAGTCAACCCCCAAGAGGGAGCAACCCACACATTGAGAACCAATCAGACATTGTACATGTCTACGGTGATTCTTGTCTACTTGCTTGGAGATGGACAGTACATATTGTTTGTTCAAAGTTAAGGCTGTGGAGAACTTCATTTGCTTCCCTCAGCTTGGAAGTTGTATACAACTATCAACTACAGAATTTTTATCTTTAAAAGATTTTAAGAGACTATTTTGATTCAGCATCTGCCATAATGTTTTCACAAGATGGAGAAAGTAAAATACAAAGGAAGGATTTTGATGGTATTATTCCTCAAGATGGCAGTGCCTGTGCAACATCATATTACTCAGCTTGACTAGATATCCACACTGTGAAGTTTCCTGATAATGCATCATAGGCAAATAGAGATTCTTAGTGAAGAGTTATTGCATAGGGAAGGTAGATTCAGGAAGCTATAGGGGTCTGTTGTATGCTCTTCTAGGATTTGATACTCACAGAGGGCTGTGGTGAACTGAAGCATCCTTTAGAGAAGGGGTTCTCAAGAGAATTGTCAGCAGACTTGGTATTTGAGAGGAGACCTTGTCTTGGAACTGGCTTTGGCGGTTCTGGAAGGCAAGGAACCCAGTTAGTAGACAAACTTTGCTTACATACAACGCATGTTCTCTGACTGGCTTACCTTTGAATTCTTTACAACAGTGAAATAAAAATTACCACACATACCAGAAATCTATCAAAAAAAGATACATCTGTATCTTATCTAAAGTGGAAGACACTCAGAAGTTTCTTGTGTGTGGCTGTGGAATGTGGGCTAGATTATCATTCAATTCTTCAAATGTCACAATCGGTCATCACATCTATAGTTCTTAGACGCCCTCTCAAGAATAGTCACTGGGGGGCAGCATTGGGCCAGTCCTTGGGATTGGCTGAGGTAAAGGGCTCTAAGAGGTAAATGGTTAACCTGAACTCCGGAAGAAGTGGGAAGTGGATTATTGATGGAAATAGAAGGGTCCCCTGAGATCCCCATGGGACTGTGTGACAGCTGAAACATTAGTCAGCAGATAAGTGAGCAAACTTACCATTAATCTTGCTCAACAGTTGATTGGCATCATAATCATCATGGTCTACATGCTCCTGAGGAATGCCAACTTTACTGTTGAAGTAACTGGAGAAGGCACTTGAAGTCCCAGTAGAAGGTGTCTCTGCCTTCCTTGAGGGTAGAACAGGTGGCTGGCGTAGCTGGAAGTCCTTGAACATTTCCTTCACTTCCTTGACTTCTTTGTCCCCAAGTGGGTCTAAGCCAGTGAAAGCATCACTGGGGATGTCCTTTAAGGGACCATTTCTGGGAGGTGGTTGAGGAGGTGTGGGCAGGACAGAGGACAGCATAGGAGGAGACTGAGTGGGCATGGCAGGAGGTGGAAAGGTGTTACTCTGAAAAGGGTTCCCCAGAGGGCTTGTGGATGACCAAGCATTGGGTGCCACAGGGGCAGGAGAACACCAAACTGCAGGGGTTGGAGGGGAAGTTGGGGCTGCAAATGATGAAGGCTGATTCCAAACTTGAACTGCTGGGGTTGCACCAAAAACGATTGGCTGACCAAAACCTGAAGGCTGGCCACTTATTATGGCTCCTGGGACCACAGCTGTAGAAGGACTGAAGACAACAGGTGTCCAAGGTGCTGCTTGAGGGGGTGTTACTGGAACACCACCTGAAGAAAGAGGGAGAAAGTGTTATCAGGAGACAAGCTTGTAGAGGATTCTTTTATTTCCTTCCTTCCTTTCTTCCTTCCTACCCTTCCTCCTTCCTTCCTTCCTTCCTTCCTTCCCTTATTTATTCATGAGTTTTCAAGACAGGATTTCTCTGTAGCTTTGTAGACTGTCCTGGAACTTGCTGGGAATACCAGGCTGGCCTCAGACTCACAAAGATCCACCTGTCTCTGCCTCCCAAGTGCTGAGATTAAAGACGTGCACCGCCCTACCCAACTCTTATATTTTTATAACAATGTACTAATTGCATAAAATCCTGAATTTGTGACATTTTCAAACATCCATAACATTATCATACTTTGGGTATATTTGTCCATTTGACAAGAATTCTTGACTTTTAAGAAGCATGGCTTTCTGGACATATTTGTAGACCATTCCCAAGGCAAACACCCTTATGAAGTTTTGAAGCTAACCCAGAACTAAGGGCTTCAAGAGATGAAATCACTCTGAAGGTTAACTCATTAGCATTGTTCAGCTGGTGTTCAAACACTTGTTGCATGTTTTTTTCTACCACACATTTTACTATCCTCATACTTACACCCCATAGGTTCCCAATCATGAATAGATAAATGCTTATCAAAAGTATATTGATGAACTTCCAAACACCCTGAACAGAACTTGCAAACAGTAAGAGCTGGTTTGTCAAGTGGACAAATGTGCAAATCACATGGATTATTAAGTAGTTAATTAGGATAATCCATTCCGTGGAGGCACTATTTAGTCTTTGCATTTAACAGTTGGCTCCTTCTGAGGACTTATGGAAACTGGTTATCATGAATGCACATGAGTTCTCCAAGAATGTCTCTCCAGTTTCAAAGGTCCCCTGCCTTTTAATGCTGCCAAAGTCGACACAGCTACATAAAGGGAAGATGAAATTTAGCCGAGGCCCATATAGTTTAGACTTTTACATGTAAAAATCCTGGGATGGCTGCTCCCAATAAAAGAGCTTCCTGCCATGTGTCACTCACTAAACTTTGCGAGAAGTTAGAGGGGAGCCAGAGTTAGAGGGAAAATCAGGCCCTTGTGGGTAACTGTGGCCTCTTGTTGTCAGAGAGTATTATCCCCAGGGCTTGCCTCCCTGCCATGTTCTTCATGAGAACCCAGACCTCTCCGTCCTGCCCTGCAACCTGTTCTAACACAGGACATTCATTCTCTCTGCTCTCTCTGCCCAATTGCATTAATGAGAAAAAAACCCAAAGCACTAGCCATCTGCTAACCCAGTCCAGCCTCATTCTCAGTCATGGGCAGTGCTGTTCTACTCTTGAAACCTACTTGTTCTGAAGGTCAGAGCACAGCATTTTTTCATTATCCATTTTCTAATTCAACCATGAAAAGGTTTCAAACGTGAGATAGAAAAGATTTGTTGCTTTTTTTTTTTTTTTCATTCCTTCAGAATGAGAAGAACTTTGAAATGGGGTTTAGGGACTGGCATAGGGTCATTTCTTTTGATCTTTTTGTCATTTGATTCTTTTATTTTCTTGAGTGCTGGCATCTGGTCAGGAACACATTTGCTCCACCCCCATAGAATGGTCACGTTGCTTTATGAGCATGCCTATTTTTCCATGACGAAACTGAATCAAATATGGGAAGTTCATAGTCCATATCCATAGGGACAAACTCATGCACCTTGGCCCTGACCCCAGTACATTATTCTCCCATTTTGACCTCTTCATGGCAAGGCATAAGAAGCAACTACTTGTTCAATGGGAAGCTAATTCACATAGTAACCAAGACATGGTTTCTCTTATTAAGCCTTAAAAGTGGCTTTGGTTTGAGCAAAGCTATTGATAATGTTTCAAAACAATTTAATATTGTGAATGGAAGAAAGGGTTATTTTCCAATCATTTCAGCCACTCAGTAGTGTAAAAATAAATACACAAAAGGGAACACCCATTTACCGCCCTTCATTCTGAACTACTTCTTTAACTCTAGTCATAGATAGTATAAACGGGAGTGCCATTTATAAAAAAGAAAAATATTTCATTTGCCAGGAAGTAAGGGCTTGGTAAGCCTGCATTTGTGCCAACCTTCATTCCCATCTCCCCGACTCCACCCATTATGTTTCTAAAACATTTATGGCCCAGCTGGAGAAAGTAGAGGCAAGGACTGAGGGAAAAGAGAGTGTGGGCATAAAGCATTAATTTTATTACCTTTTGACGCTAGATCAAAACACAGGGTACAAGTCAAAGCTGAGGGCTCAGCTTCCTGTAATGCCCCCCTTCTCCAGATCTCAAGAGGAGACAGTCCCCCAGCTGGGTCGAGCGGAAGCCAGACCTACAACCTTCCATGGTTTGGCTGAGGATCACTGCCAATGGACAGGGGCTACACTGTGGGGCTCAGTTTGAGTTCCATGTCCAAACTTGGAAGAATCATCAGTATTCTGCAGTTGTATACCCCAAGGCCTCAACAGGGGCACAATGCCAAAAGGCTTCACTTCGTCTGAATAAATTAACAGTTATAGGGTCCAGCTGTATCTTCAGGCTGACTTGCTAAATATTGGCTGTAAGAATTCTTCAAGGCATTGATATTAGACTACAGAGCTCTGGGATGTGATCTAGTCACAGCTGCTGAATGCAAGTTCTCTGCCTTTCTATGGAGGAAAGACACCAGCTGCTTCACTGTGGGTACAGCAAAAAGAACAATGCCAAAAAAGGAGGCTTCCAACGTGCACCATGTACTTGGAGAGAGTTTCTTGGTGCTATAACATTGAGCCTGGAACCTATGGACTGCTTCTCACTCACCTGAGTTTCAGCACTCAGCATTGGCAACAACTCCTATCTCATCCCTACTCCAGACATGCTTAGACAGACATATAGTGGCAGAAAGAAGTTGCTCTCCTTTGCAGGAAAACAGCAAAGGAGAGAAGAAAGGAAATGAAGGAAGAAAAAGGAATCTTGGTGCCTGGTTCTACAGAGGGTAGGAAAAGCTATGATCTTCATTCAAATCTTACCAAAGGGCCAGAGAGTCCTTCTTCATCTCTGGCCCCTCCACCTCCCAAGCCAGATTCTATTTGAGTTTGCACAGGTGCCAAGAAGCAAGACACAAAGGGAATCCCCAGCAGGATGGCAAAGACTATTATTGGTGTTTCTGAAGTCTGAAAAGGACTAGAGCTCTGGTGGAAGAGTAACAGGGTCAGACCTCAGTCAGCATCCCTTTATCTCCATCCTGCAGCAAAGGCTCAGGGCATCAGGCAAGCCAGAAATTTATTTTCACCCTAGTACATCCCACTGTCTAAGAAAATTCCACCTATGCTTCTTCTAGCTTTATTTTTTTTCTAATAGTTACCTCCCAGCTCTACACAGATGCTCTTCTAGAAAAATTACTAGAAAATTCTAGAAAAATTGTGGATTGCTAAGGGGCAAGTATTCAAAAACAGATCAGGATTCTGGCCCATTCCCTGCCTATTTAGACCTAGGGGCAGAGCTGAGTCTGGAACTTAGACTTTCAGTTTCTGATTTAGCCTTACTTCTGGCTTAACCTACACCCACCCTGGGGTACATAAGAGAGAGGATTTGAGCCTTGAGAGGAGATAGACTTCCATCTGTCAAGGTGAATGTCATGGAAAGCATGTGTGCTCCTGTGCAGACAGAACATATGACTCTCGATGCATCCTCTTTTTACCATGGAAGCAGGTCTGACTTCAGAATCCTTTAAAACTGACTTCTGAAAGCCACTGCCAGCTTTTCAGGGACATGCAACACTGAAGGCAGACTTCTTGTAACATAGCAGCCCAGAGAGCTGAATTTCAGATAGCAGGCAGGAATGTCAGGCATGTGGGCTATGCAGGAGTAAAGGCACAGGGAGTGTTGCTTGAGGTCTCCCATCTGATGCCCACCAGCATAGGAAGTGCCTTCCTTCTATGTGTCATCACTATGAGTGACAGTAGCAGAGACACATCTAATTCCAACTCTGGGAACATACCTAGACCTGCAAGGGGCCCCATTGGGGCAGGAGCACTTGTTTTGAAGAGATCCAAAGGGTTGGTCTGAGGAGCTGCAGGTTGTCCTGTGGGTGTCGTCTGGCCTGGAGGTTCTGAGGCAAAGATGTCTGATGCAAGCAAGTCATTTGCTGGAGACTGACAAGGAGGGAGGAGGGACAAAAGTTACTCAGGGCGACAGCAAACACAGCTTCCATTTGTCTCCTGCACCTTACCCCAAGGCTAACCTCCACACAGAGGAAAATCTATTATTAATGGAAAATGATTACTTCTACCAATAAATAAAAGAGCAAAGGTAAGGTGTGTGTGTGTGTGTGTGTGTGTGTGTGTGTGTGTGGTGGGGGTAAGAGACACAGATGGCTGTAGTGAATGGGCTAATAGATACCATCTTGGACTTGCAAAATGAAATCTATTTTTCTCATTTTATCCTTTTATGCCAGTCTTGTCTCCTTATTGGCAAAACTTGAAGCTGGGAAAGGAAGGGCAATATAAGCATCCTAAATAATTTCAATCATTCCATTCTATCTAAATCAGTTTCCATAGAGACTATACTACTTTCATCATTAGGTAAGGCTGCACATTCCTATGAGAGCTTGTAAAAATTGCCTGGTACTGTACTTGGAGTCACTTTTGAATGAAGTTGGTAATAGCGTTCGTTTGTAAGTTTCTAAGGCACTGGGTTATTAAATTAACATTTACATTTAAAAGAGGAGACAGACTTGAGAATTTTAAACCACCACCATGGATATCAGTGATGATGGGTGTGCAGGACATGTGTTAGTGTGGGGACAGGATCAAAAGAATCACAAGAACGCTCTCCCTCCCATCCCAGAACATGACAATCAAACTTACCAGAGGTACAGAAGCATAGCAGCATTAACAATGGAAAAAAAAAACAAAAACAAAAACAACTTGTGTTTAGTTTAGTATTAGGTGACCAGACATGCAAACGGAAAGCAGATGTGACAAACATTGTTGGCAAGCTTAGGAAGAATGTTGACTAGAGGGGCATATTCCTAGAGGGCCGATGTGTCTTATCCCACCTTCTATTTCACAGCCACACAGGAAACTAAAAGAGCAGCAGGGAAGAGAGCTTGTATCACACCACCCTTTGGTACCGCGCATGCACTCTGCTAATGGTATGTGGAAAAGACAATTCACCTTAGCAGTCCTTCTGCCTCTTCCGGGTTTGGTACTTTGTGGAGGTGGGATAATGGCTATGGAGTCATGTGCTGAGGACTGGACAGAGCTTTCCAAGTCCGGCTTTACGCCATTCGGTACCGATAGTCCTTTGGGAGGAGGGCTTCCCACAAAAGGGTTCGGGGAAGATTTGATATGGAAGCCGTTCTGTTCTCTTTCAGATACCCCATTTTGAGTTCTCACTGCTTGCTGGGTTTGCGAACTTGGATAGGGCCACGGGCCTGCCTGAGCTTCCTGTTTGCCAGTCCGGTTAGAGATCTGGTCAAATTGCTGACCAAAGTAATCGGTATCACCGTTCAGGGGCCCTTTACTCAGCGGAGTAGACAAGCTACTCAAATTCACTTTCTTCTGATCTGGAGATGTGAGAGAATCGAACGAAGAGAGTGCCGATTGGTCTGGCTGTGCAAAAGGATCATCACGGAAAGGATCAGGGTTAGGGGTGGGAAAGAAGTTGAGATTGGCAGAAAAGGCATTTTCAGGCAAGAAGGATGCCTGAGGCTTTGGTCGAGGGACAGAACAGGAGGTGACGCCATTTGTTAAGAATGGATTTTCTCTTAAAGAGTTCTGATTGGTGTCGATTTCAGAGTTTAGATCCACTAACAGGATATCTTTGCTTTCCTAGCACATTTGGGGGAAAAAAGAGAGAGAAAGATACAGTGTTAGTCCATGTTATAACTTCAAACGAGAAAACTACATCAAAACGACAAAGGATTATCAGGATTCCTATTAGAATTTGGGGCTATTACCATCTCCCATCAACTCCCTGAGTGTTGACTGGCTGGGAGTTAATTCCTCATTCGGTTTGTGAGCTGTAAGTTTCCATGGGATCTGCCGCCCCTCCTTCAGTGAATGAAATCTTGCTCAATTTGTGCTTTCCTTATTCCATTCATTCAGATGGCTAGGTTAATTATCTGCATTGGTTCAACTGATGCCTTTGAATTAATTGGTACTCACATTAAATGGCTATCTGAATATACTGTTTGGTCCTATGAACTGACTTCATAGGGAAACATACAGTTCATAATTCTTTTTCCAGCAGTCTCTAACATTATCTCTCTAAATGAGACAATTCATTGGCTAATATTCATATGTGTACCTTGTGTATGTATGTGTACAGTTCTGGGAACTAAACCCAGGGCTTCGAGAATCTCAGATAAGCATTCTACCACTGAGTTATATTCCACAGCTCCAGATTTCATAGTTATGGCTGTGATGAAACTTAAGGTCAACTGTATTTCCTTCCTCTGGGGGAAAACAAGATTCTCCATTTTTATCCGGGTCACTATGTCTCACTCTTTGAATAGACAAAGATCTTACTAAAGATACTAACCAAATTGGGCCTCTCATCTTTACCATCCTCATCCCTTCTTGGATGTAACCTTTCCTGTGTGTTCTTCTGTATGTGACACTCAAAACACTGATCACATCTAATCAGTATTTTCAGAACATAGCTCCTAACTCCTGTATTGTGGCAATGATCTCACCTATTTAGCGTTAAAGTCAGCTAATATCTAAGGGGAAAATGAGGGTTTAGGATGTAATCATCAAAGCATGAAGAATGCATAACTCTACTAAATCCAATTCTCTATCACATGAGAAAAATATAGATGTTAATTGTTTGGTTTCTTCACTTGTCTTATGAAAATTTTTAGCATCAAAGGTACCAATTTGATCAATTTGACACGTTTTTATTCTAGTTCATACCTAATTATTATTTACCCTGGGAAGGACCTTTATGTCTGACTTTGATACATTAAATACTTAACTATGACAGCCATAGATTGTAAACAAGAAACATTGTCCAGCTGGGAAGGAGTTGAAGAAGACATCTAACAAGTGGCCTGGGTGGAGAACTGTTTTGATCACTGGGACAAGAACAATTTAAAAGGAATCTGAATGTTTTCAGCTAATAAGGACAAAGAGTGCTCAAAAGTCTCTCTTTTTGAGAAAAGAATAAAGTCCTATTTCTCTTTTGTGACATAGAAGAGGCCACAAAAATCAGGTCAAAACTGTATTCTCTTTTTTTATTTTCTTTACTGGAAAATGTAAAATCAGGTTTTTTTCTTTTTTGAAAGCCTGATTTCTTTTTTATAACTAGAAGGATTCATCACAAGAAAGAACTTAAATTTAAAAGCTTTTAATCAAACAAATGAATGGGAAGGCTTCTTAATGAGTGGATCTTTAAGCAATCAAAAGGTGGGATAAGATGCATTCTGGAAGCTTGATTTCAGTGTTTATTTTTTAAGAGCCACCTCTAGGTTAGCATAGTTGGGTTTTCACAGCTGGCAGAGTTCTCCTTTCCAGACACTTCAGAAGAAGTTCTTAAGACACCAAACGAGCCACAGTGTTAGACTTCTGAATAGTCACCCTACGAGCAAAATGTATAAGGTTCTCCTCAGGTCAGGCTTGTGGATCCAAGCTGAAGTGTCTAACCGAAAGACTAGACTGGACAGACGTAAGACTCCTCATCTACTCCCGAGGTCAAAGCTTCATCAGTGCTTTTTGGACTGTCACCACTCCACTTGGCTACCCATTGACACCTTCAGACAGATGTGAAAGTCAATCAAGCCTCTTCAGCAAGCAGGTGTGAGGACTGCACCAAGGCAATATTTGAAAACCAAGATCTACTGCTCTTCTCTGGGTAGCTAACTAAGGCTTCAATCCCATTGTTGGCTTCCTGCCATCTGTTATGGACTTTAAAACCACCTTCTTTAGGTCAGCTTTCAGAATGCTACATGGTAGGACCCCACTTGATTTACCATAGCTACTATCTATTGCACTTTATACTTTAATGACCCTGCTCAAACTCGGGGTTTTCCTTACATTTTTCTTATTGATATTTCAGTTTTACCTGTATCTACCCCATGCCATTTATGGGAGTATAAATGTGTATAATACACATATTACTTAAATTTTGTACCTAATCTAATTTGCCAGGTTTAATGCCTACGATAGTGGATCATTTCTTGTAGTCTTTCAAGTGGTCAGGTTTTCAAAGTTAAAGGTCACATACCTCGTCTATTTCTCCTTTTCCTCATTCACTTTTGCCTGACTCTGTACCTTCTTCCCTCCTTTAATTCCCCTTTCTCTTTATTTCTTAGGCACCATGAAACAAAGCTCCAGTAATTTTGAAAAAAAAAATATGTTCTAAGGGATGTAAACACTATATTTGACGTGTGTAAAAGCTTTGTTCATCAATTTGGGAGAAGCTATAGCCACGAAGGATAACTAAAAGAGACTAAGTAATTTGGTTATTTTTCTTCTACACTTTACGTTTTCCAGAGCAATTGTTTTAAGAGTTGAAAACCTCTGAAACATGCTAATTTTACTAGTCAGAGAAACATCTATTTTGTGACCTCTGCATCTGGAGTCAATGCAACAGAATATGTTGCCAAAGTCTAACGAACACATAGTTAGTCCTGTTAGCCCTTAAAAACAAAACTCAAACAACAACAACAAAAAACTTACCAGATATTACCTACATTGATTATATTTATATTTAACTTATTTTTAAACTAAAACTTAAATTTATACAAATAAAAATTTTTAGTTTGGAAGAACACTGGTATAAGAATAAGGATCATCCATGCTGTATTTTCATTATGTATGCAGAATGCTTCAAAAATCCACAAAAGTCAAGGAAGTAAGTGCCTTCTTGCTTCTTCCTCTGCAATTTCATTGTAAGAGTTTTCCTCTCTCTTGGGTGGCCTGTTTCAGTGTGACACTTAGAAAGACAATTGCACAGATATTGATTTCTCTTATCTACTAATAAAGAATTGCCAAGACTGTCGAGGAATCAAAAAGCCCTCAGAACCAGGATGGTCCTTCCAGTATCAGCTAACCTAATATGCCAAAAATCTTATCCTGAAAACACTAAAAATGAATGTGCCAAGGGATAGTGAATAGGAAAGGACTCATTATGTGGATGACTACCCAGTAGTTCTAGCTCCTCTATTGTAGTCTCTGCAAGGATGTTAAGATGCCATCACACAGTATGATTCTTATGTGTAGGTACAGAGATGACTGTACACAGTTCATGCTTCTGTGGATTTGTGCAGTGAGGATGTGCCTGCTGGGCTCCTCTGTAGTACTCTTGGAAATAAAAATTCTTCCCAATCTCTCTCTCTGACTCACTTCAATACCTGAGATCTACACATCATGAAAACTTACTTGAAAATTTCCTGATTTAAAAGGGTCTTATCCAGACACTTCCTCCATTATTCTGCATGTACCAATTCTCTGCTTGCCTAGCTATTGCCTTCTTATTGCTAATGTTCAAGTCTAGAAACTCCCTTCCTTGGAAACATTATCTGAATCTGCATGCTAGGTGAACATCCTGAAATTTGCATCATTCAATGTGGCCCTTGGTAGACAGAATGGTTGCATCTTTCTTGCTGCTATTATTTGCCAATAGCAGGTGCTCAGGAAACTAGGAAATGAATAATAAAAGTTGGTTCAAAATGACATGATTATTTCTGTGTGGGGCCTGTTTTATAGATGATCTGAAAAATAAGGCTTAAACCTTAAATCTCAGCATAAGTGAGTTTTCCTGCTGGACGAATATTTTCATATCAATAAAGTAAAATACTGCTATATTCTCACACGACTGACACAGGCCTGCCAATATTGTTCTATAAAAACTAGCAATTTCCTAAAATGAAGAGACTTTTGTTAATCATAAAATGAACCTTATTAAGCTCCTTTTTTTGTTTGTTTGCTTTTGTATTTTCAAGACAAGTTTCTCTGTGCAGCCCTGGCTGTCCTGGAAGTCGCTTTGTAGACCAGGCTGGCCTTGAAATCACAAATATCCACCTGACTCTGCCTCCTGAGTGCTGGGATTAAAGGCATGTGCCACCATGCCTGGCTCCTTGTTTAACTCTTATTTCTTGTCAAACTCATGCTGATAAATTGCAAAAAAGAAAAGCAGAAAAAGATGAGGAAACTAAGACAATTTAGGATTTATTATTTAATAAACATACTTCTTTCAAGTAGATTTATGCCAAGAATAATAATACAGATCCTCCCTCTGATCCTAAATTATTACCAAGAAGGAACACATTGACTGGCTAGCAGTGCAGATTTAGCCTCTGTGCTATGCTAATATATCTAAATTAGTAGTGGTAGGTTCCTATGGTGACTTAAGATTCAAATTATTTTTCTAGGAGCCACTTCTATTCCATGAGGAAAATGCAAGACATTCCAAGTTTCCATGAAATGATCAAGCTTTCTGGTTAATTGTAAATTTGGGATTATAGATGTTATTTCAATTACATTGCAAATTTAAAAACAAAGCACTTACTGTTGGACTATTTAGGTCAGGAGGTGTAGACATGTCCCCAAACAAATCCATCTGGTCAATACCCTTAAAAAAGTATTTGGATTAGATTCAGATGTGTCTACTAAAAACAATTACTTTGTCTATCATTGTAATTGTTTGTGTCCTAAACTATAGGAAATAGTTGTCATAATTGATTGTAGCTGATTTCATTCAGATTTGATATTAAGCTGCTTATGTCAGGAAATGTAGGCTTGTCCCCAAGCACATCACTCTGGTCAACACCTTAAAGAAGTGCTGTATTAGAGAATGGTAACCTACTAAATAGACTATGTTGTAAACTAACATAGATATTACTTCAATATATAGGAAAATACTTGTCCTAATTGAATTTCCTATGGATTCAATATAGGTTCAGTATTAGCAAGATCTACAGGAGGTAGAAACCCATATTTAATGAATACAAAACATCCCAAACATACCAGCTTCAGTTTGTTAGCTTGATCATCAAGGGTCATTAGGGCCTCACTCCCATTCTGCAAATAACAGGCAAATATTAAATTGATGAAGTAGCCCCATAAAAATTATTTCCATGCCCAACTATCCTATTAAGCTGTTATAATTTGCTCTCTAATAATTTTTAACTATTTACTCCCATGGAAAGAGTGGCCACTAGCTCAGAGGACCAAGACAGGAGGGGAGAATGCTTTTGCAGGGAGCCAACATGGCTTCCACACATCACCCACTTCACAGGAAGTCAAAAGGCAGCTTTACCTCCTCTGCTTTGCTGGCTTCTTCGACCTAAACAGAAAGACACAGGTTCACTAAGCTTAGTACTTGGGAAGAGAGTTAGAAAAGAAACAAATATAGCCACATTCATAGGCCAAGAGAAAAAAAAATCTTGTCTATTTTCCTATATATGCCCCTCCCCTCTTCACATAGATACTAGCTTTGAAAACTTTCTAGATTTAAGCTTGGTTGCTCTGTCAAGTCCTTTAACAAGTATGAACATTATAAGGAGCCAGAGACTGAAATCAGATGGTCCTAAGCACAAAATCCCACCATTTCCTTGCTAGGAACAATGGACAGTGCTACACATGGAAGGAAAGAAGCTCAGCTCTTTAGCCATGGCTTTCAAATGTGACACCAAATAGAGCCTGAATATAGTTGTGAACCCAGCAGAACGTCTCTCAAGCAGCACTTGCCTTTTTCTTTTCTTCTTCCTTTTTCTTTACATTGTAGATAACTTGAAAAAGGTCTTTAAGATCAACAACTAATGGTTCAGCCTGAAGTGACAGAAAGCATTAACAACATTTTGTTTACATCTTCACTCTTTGTCCATAATCAATTCCCATCAGTACTTTATATTTCCTATCGAGATTCCTTACAACCCTTCCCTATATTATAGAGAATCTCCACCCTCAGATAACTAAAGGACTTAAGGTCAATACACGTTTTCACTAATTCTAAGAACATACTTATCACAACAGAACTTTTTTCAAGTCTTCAGACAAAATAAGAGGTACCATGACTATTTTTGTAGTTTCCTCAAGGTCCCTGGGAATAATCCAATACTGTTATAAATTCATTAGTAGCACTATTAGAAATTCCATTCTCACAATTCTTTTGCTACACACATGAGTATCAGTGACATTTTCAATAGTTTTTTCAGGCATAAATTATTGTCTGAATGATGATTGACCTAAAGAACTGTGGCTTAATGAATTGTTTCGAGTAATTCTTGTTAATTATAAACACTCCTTTTCTCAACAGATGACCAATCCTCAGGTGTACTGTGTCTTAGAGCTTACCTGTTGCCCTGTTTTTATGGCAAAAAATTGATGCTGGCCTTCTCCTCCACACACATAACCAAATGCTCTATTGTCTGTCACATCACGGGCAATGAAAGAAATTTTATTTACTGGATGTTCATGCTCTATTACCTTAAAAGGGAACAGGAAAGAACAACAGTGAGTAATATAGAACATACTTGTTGGCTATCACAACTGACCATCAGAAACATATGTGAAGGCATGTACCAAGAGGTTAAAGCCTCTTAGTGTTTGATTCAGGCTAGATCTAGATTTATTTTTTTCTTGAAAGGGCTCCAAAAGGAAGAGTTAATACAAAACAAAAGTAGAAAAACATTCTTGCTAAAAATATAAGTGCTCGACTTGACTCTCTATCCATAAGATATAATGCCACATGCAAGGAAGGACTGAGATGAATTCAAGAATTTCTACAGTGAAGGAGGAATACATAACCTTTAAACCAACCCAAGTGGACCTGGGTGTGGTGTGGCCTTTATAGAACTGGGAAGATTGTGACAGAGAAGTAGTTTGCCCTATGAATTAAAAACCAGCTCAGGCAACACAACAAGATAGTATCTCAAAACCAGCTAACCAACTGAATAACCAACTGAGCACATATCAAAATTAGAGCCACATCCTACAATAAAGCAATAACAAGAAGTCAAATTCAAACAAAACTCAAGCAGGTCTAGCTTCCTAACAAAATGACAAATTTAAATGGACAACCTAAGTAAGTAAGCTGAAGAATTTGTCAGGAGGGCTCCTGTATTTTATTAAGATGACTGAACCCAGTGAACCTCAAAGCTATGAAATGCTGCCATAATAATTTTCATCCTGTCTTAGAGGGACCTTGTCATTTGAAGTCAAATGTCACAGAGACTCTATTGGTTTCTGTCCTCTGATTTCTCCACCTCTCTTGATCCTTTCCAGCCAGCACCAGCACCAGGATTCAACTCCTCAAAGTTATCATAGGTGGCAAAATGTGTCTTGAATTGCATTTCTAAATGCCTAAGATCACTGAAAAGATAAGCCAAGTGACACCTCTGAACCACTGAGTTTGACTTGACAGCAGGTCTTCAGTCTATAAGACACTAATTTTTGCCAAATGAAGTTTTTATGAAACAAATAAAAATGTTATATGGTTTCTTATAAATGTTATGAATTCATATTTATCATTTTATATGAGTATTAAAATTAACTTGCCAAAGAGATCATACTTGGAGGAGAAAGAAATAATGCTTATGAGAGAAACCTGCTACCGTTGCCTAGGGGACTTGAGATAAAGTTATTAAGGGCTGAATGATAGTGATAAAAGACAATCATACCCGAGGAACTAATGAACAGCAAGCAAAGTGGGCGTTTACCGTGGTGCCCTGGCCCTAAGTCTGGCAGGCAGATTTTGCATATTAGATAACAGGTATCTCTTGGAAGGGATGAATAGACATCTTGCCATGTTGTCTTGATATGAACAGTGTTTTATAGCAGAGTTACAAATGACACTTTGAATCCTACAGTGTTTTATAGAACAAAGGAAAAAGTACTACAGAACACCTAAAATACTATTATTTTGGGGTACTGATTAGAATAAAGTAAACAATAACGAAGGAAAACTGATTGTATGTGATAGAATAATAGCTACCTCAAATAAAAAAGAAAGGAAAACTAAAACAAAATCCAAATAAGTTATATCTGCCAGTTGGGAAGAGTAGGGGTAAAGAAAGATGAAAAACATTCTAAAGGGTTGGAACTAGCCTCCAAATTCACACATGATCAATACCTTAAAATAAGTTGGATATTAAGATTAACTTAGTTTAGTCTGAAGTTCAAAATAATTACCATACAACAGCAGTGATACATTTGTGTTTGGGGGCTTGTTCACATCTCTTATAGAAAATGAACTTCAAAATAAGATACCTTGATTCCTTTCTTTCTATTGCCTAATTTAGAGAAGTAGTACATGGTATTATCCTTTACTTATTTGAGGACGAAAAGGGTTTTCCACTGGAATTCAACTATGGTCAGACTCAGGAGTAAACTATTGCAAGCAGCACAAATTCTTACCCCAGTTTTCTCGTCAATAATTTTTATGCCAGACAGGGAAATGTTGACCCAGATCCTTTGCTTGTGCTGTCCCTGAGACCGGCCAGCTGCTGCCATTCCCTGGTGAAATTGGGATGAGAGAAATGTATTTTAAAGTATCCTATAATACTTCTTATGACAAAAGTTTTGAAAGATAAACTGATTTGTTTTCAGCTTGGATGGCATCTATGAAAAGATTAAGCACTTTTGATCAAGGGTAATGGATGGGTTATTACACACACACACACACACACACACACACACACACACACACACACACTCTCATCCCCAGAGGATGGCTCACCTAAACCTTGTATTATTTAATTAGGTCTACATAGTAGCATAGTGTAGAAATTAAAATTTCTGAAACACTAAGCCAGCGAAGATGGCTCAGAGTGTTTGTCATGTGAGCACGAATACTTGTTTGACTCCCCCAAAACCCATATAAAATGTTGGGTGCTATGGTATACACAAGTAATCTCAGTGCTAGGGAGGCTGAGACTGTAATATCCGTGGAGCTCGCTGGTCAGTTAGTTTAGCCAAATTGGTAAGCTCCAGACACGGCGAGCTACTCTGTCTCAAAGAATAAGGTAGAGCACAACTAATGAAGGCACTCATTGTCAACCTCTGGACACACTCACATGCACATACATGCACATACATATGAACATGTGCACACATACAAATTCAAAACACTGAATGGCAATTTCCAACTAGAGTCCTATATTTTACTTGAATAATTTATTTCTCAGTCAATAGGCATTCTGTGACTTCTTTTAAAATTTATTTAGTTTTGATTACTTTGGAGAATATACATATGTATACATACACATATTTGCATATATATGATATACATATGTATGGAGTCCAGAAGATGACACTGAACATCTTTCTTGATTGCTCTCTACTTTCTATACTGAGGCAGGGATTCATCTTGAGCACAGAGCTCAAATTCTCTAGTATAGACCAGGTTGCTATGGGAATACTGTCTCTGCCCTGGAATGTCATGATTGCAGATGGGCTGTCACAGTTATGCAGTATTCCTGTAGGTGCTGGAGATCTAAATTCTGGTCCTTACACTTATCCACTGAGCCATTGTCTAAGTCCCTACTTTGTGTCTTCCATGTAGAATAAGATATCACACACAGCTGCCCCAAGCCTTGTAGATCATTTAATGACTGAGAATTTAGGGATGGGCTTTGCTCATCTAAGTACTGAGTTTACCCAAAAGAAAAGGCACCCAGAATCTTGTGACCCTTGATTAAAGATGAATTCTAGAACAATTTCAGATTCAGAGTAAACATGCTTCTCCAGAAAGAAAACACTAGTGGATCAATATATGAATAGAAAAGCTTGAAGCCAGGCAGTGGTGGTGTACACCTTTAATCCCAGCATTCAGAAGGCAGAGGCAGGTGGATCTTTGTGAATTCAGTCCAGCCTGGTCTACACATTGAATTCAAGGACAGGCTCCAAAGCCACAGAGAAACCCTGTCTCAAAAAAAAAAAAAAAAAAAAAAAAAAAAAAAAAAAAAAAAAAAAACAAACCAAAACAACAAAACAAACAAAACCAAACAACCAAACAAACAAAGCTTGGGTTGATGGGAGCTAATCGAATTCCCCCTTTTAGACACATAGTTGAAACAGACAATGAATTCTTTCCCTCTCTACCTTGAGTTTCATCATAGAATCTTGGCTCATTTTGTCTCCTCTTGCATCAGGCACATCATCAATACCTATTAGCTTGGCCTTATATTTTACACCATCACCTTTGAACCTGGCCAACAGATACTCATCTGTCTTTTCAGAACCTGAGAAGTAAAAAAGAAATGCAGGGTAAATCCTATTTTTAAATGTCACCCTTAAGTATGACAACATGTGCTCACTATCCCCCCAAATTGAATAGCATAAATCTTTATCATACCATAATTGATCATACATGGGATTCCCACTGTCTCATTTTTACTTCTTTTAAGAAAAATGATGTTTCATAATATTGACTACAGAATTGAGATTAAGAGGAAAAAAATAAGAACAAACAACAAACACTTCCTGAGGACACAAAATGCAGATGAGAAATTCATGAGAACACATGAATTGGGACTTGGGAATATTCTTCATCAAAGTTTTTAATGTTTTGAATGGATTTTACAAAATGGCATATTCTTTTTAATGAAAAAAAAAATAAGGCACCAAAGAAATTTTCAAGCATTTTGAACCATCAAAACACAAAAGCAAATTGAGGGTAAATTTCCATGGCTATCATTGGGTAATTATAGCTTCCTTTGTATTTTCTTTTCTCCTCTCAAAAAACACATGCTGTCTCATTCCTAGAACTGAAGGGCCATGGCCAAAGCAAAGCAGGAAGTCCATGGCATCTTCTCCAGCTCTGGCAGATTAAGGCCTTGGACACTATCTAGAAGTACTTAAAGCCCAGTACTTAAAGCCCAGTGTTGTTTTATTAAAGTTTTGATTTTTCAAACCTGGTGATGTTAGTAAAACAAAGTGGTAAATAGATTACTGAATGATAATTACACAATAGTTATGACTGTATAATTAGCCACATGTTTAAACAAAAAAATATAAAATTAAGAAAATACTATGAAATTTTCCTAACCGAACTTCAGTTGGTATAATCATAGATGCAAAAAATAAGTATTGTCACACAGAAGTCAAACCAATTGCTTTTGCCAGAAATAAAAGTTCCCTTCTCAGAACTTAAGAGTAAGCTCACGTGACAGCCAAACAAGAGCCATTTGCCCATACCTTTCTTCTTTTCCTTCTTTGATGGCACTTTTGGTGCAGCCTGTTGGTCAGGCTGACCATTGGTTGTGCTTGTTTCTACTTCGTTAGACATGGCAGGAAGGCAAGCAGAAAACCCAGCAGCAGACACTCACTGACACCAGGCAATCTTCAATATGCAGGTCTCAAATGAACATAACCCACGACACACACCTGTGGGTTGAGGAAAAGCATAGTGAGGCAACAATAAAGCAAACCCAAGCTCACGCCATCAATGTCCACAGAGGCCATTCTGTTGCCTGTATGTTCTTGTTAACTGCATGCATTTGCAAATCCTTCTCTATCAGGCTGAACTCTGGAGGCAGGCTTATTCCCTTTGAAGCTCCCCAGAATGGGAAGAGATTGTTCGGTAAATTTTTCTTCAAGCATTTGATTTCTGGTAGCATTTAATGATTACCTAGTGCGGCAACTTGTGTTAGAACTTTGGCATAAGAATCTAGCATCAAAGATAGGGATCACAAACTGGTTAGGTTTCATAGCAAAATAGAAACAGACCTGCTGAGCTCGTTAAGATTGTAACTGATGTCTGAAAATGGCTATTCAGAGTTTCAGTTATCCACACAACTGCTAAGAAAGGTAGTTGTGCTCCAGGAGTATAAAAGAATACTTACAAGCTGACTTGTTTCCCCAGCACACCCAAAATAGAAAAGAACAGAGTTATTATTTCACTGAGAGATTTAAAAACCTATTATTGAGATTCTACATATAACTTTCGGGTTGTATGAGCCCTGGACTTTAAATACCTGCATGGTATGTGGTGGTGGTGGGGGCAGTAGTATTGGAAATCAACTTGTTAATCAACATATGCCAGACTCAGAAATGTAAACATTGCATTTTCTCTCTCATATGTGGATATGACATGTAAGTAGAATGGGAACTTTGGGGAAGGGAGAGGGGGGAAACAAGAGAGGGAACTTGGAAGGAAGAAAGACAAAATATCACATCTTTCTCTTATATATGAAGTCTAGATTTAAATATATATAGGCATATATTATACATATATGGCATATATCATACATATGCAGTGTGAAAGCTTAAGGAGGAATATGTAAAAGAGGAAGGGGAATAACTGACAGGAGAAGTTTTGATGGGGGAAGGTAGTAGGGGTAAATACGAGCTCAGTACAATTATATGTGTGTGTGTGTGTGTGTGTGTGTGTGTGAAAATGAAACACATTATTCCATATGCTATTTGAAAAATTAGTAATATAAGTAAATGATTTCCATTTTTTCATTGACAAACTAGTGTATCAGAGAGTTTCAGGATATCTCTTGTACAATTCATTGAGTACATTAATAAATGCTTTTATGCTACTATTCACCATTAGAATCTTCAAAACAGTAGTTCCTCGGGCTCTTATAATGCCTCCATGTGTATTACAGAAAAGAAAATAGCCATTGCAGGTACACAGGGGTAAACTAATGTTTCAAAAGGTCCTTTGACTGCATGGTATTCTGTTTCTATATACTCTAGAGGAACTTGAGAGGATGAACATTCTAAAACTATAGACCAATGGCAGAGGAGAGCCACTCTGCTTAGAAACTTACTGTAAAGCCATCTCAGGGCTAGGATACTCCCGTACCACAGAAGCCTTCTTCTTTCTATACTGTGTTGCCCATATATGGCAACACCATGGACCAAACCTACCACATGTGAATACATGCTGTTTCATAGACATGGGAGATAAAAATTAAGACTTGACTTTTTCTTGTTTAACTCTTAAAAATCCTTCAATAGCTCTGTATTACAATATTAATACACCTTCCCACGGAAAACCAAGGCACAGACACTTTACCACCTGCCAAGTGACAGAACCAGTTTTCTATCCCACACAGTCTGGTTCAGTGTCAGAATTCCTTAACATCCCATTGATGAATTTTATCTTAGAAATCACAGTCTTGCTACAGAAAGTGTTCATATATATATATATATACATATATATATATATGAAATGTATATATAATATACATGTATATTATATATATATATATATATATATATATATATATATATATATATATATTAGTCCATAATGTATGTCTAAGACTTAGTGCCTAGAGTTTTTGTAAGAAAGTGGGATTGTGTTGGATTTATGTTGGGAAGGTACCTAAATCCAATGACATATGCCTTCTATTCAAAGGTAGATCGAGGTTTGAGAGAAAGAGAATCACAAAGCAGATGAAAATATAAATCCAAAAGAAGATCTTAATTTGATGTGTCTGCCAACCAAAGAAAGTCAAGTGATGGTTAACATCCACCTGAAGCTAAGAGCACAATGCAGCATGGGGTTCTACCTCAAAGCCTCAGCAAGCATGTCCTGACTTTGGGCTAGCTGCCTTCAGAAGGACTGTGCCAATAAATTTCTCTTGCATTAAGCCACTCATCCCATATGTAATAATTTGGTAATGCTGCCGTGAGTGGTGCACATGCCATCTATGTTTTGTGTGCCTTCATTGGTTTCTACGGTTCTTGGTGACATGACAAGTGATTTTCTTAGTCATTTTCAAAACTCAAAGCTATTTTCTTCACTTCAGAGGACTTACTACAAATCAAGAAGATGCTTTCTTGTGCTAATAGTATCAGTGAAACTAAGATCCTATCTAAGTACACTGATGGTCTTCTCCCACATGATTCTCCTCTCTCCAATGAGTCCCCAACTCTTCTCAGACATCATCTTATAAAGAAAACACTTCAGTGCAATACAGTTACTACATGATTATTTTCCTGTGATTCTTTCAAGGTTAAGCTTGTAAAACTAAAGGACTGTTACTTCATGCCCTTTTCCATTTCCTACCATCCTCAATGGACTGTTAATCTCAATTCTCCTCTCAGAGTCACTTTGCTGATAATTTCCTGGCACACCCAATTTCTTTGTTTTCCTTGCATGTGAGTGGTCCTACTGTACATGTCATACATCTATGCCTTTCTTGGAGCTCTGTATCTCAACTTGTGTTTTCTTAATTAGGTTTCAATGGGATTTTTTTAAAAAAAATAATTGAATGAATTTTCTATAAATTAAAAAAAATTGGAAAATGTACTGTGGAAGCTCTACTTTGGATGTTAGCAAAGCAGCTATTTTCATTTTCTATGTCATGCTCATGAGTAATGCCTAATCATCTTTACCTTCCGCTCTTTTCACACCTGGATGTGAGCCCCAAGTTCATCATTTCTTTGGGAATGACCTTTGCTTTTACTTCCTGATACTTGTAGGGCATCTGGCCCTACATCCTGCTCTCTCTGGTGCTCATTTGTCCCTGAAGAAAGTAGGTAAGCCAAGGTCTTTTCTGAAGTCCTCTTCTCTCCCTTCTACATACACATGCTCATCACATGGTTTCTCACAGATCAACCTCATGTCTGTCTGTCAAATCCTCAGGACCACAATGTCCTTGATGGGAGAAGATTCATTTGGCATGTGGGAGTCATTCATATGGATGGTAGCCTGGGCTGTTGGAGCAGTATAAATTCTCTTCCTTGCTTATCATACGTGTGAATTTGTGTGTATCAACATTTTTTAATTTCTCAGAACTCTCTACCTTTCCTTTTGTATGTGAGGTTTTTGTTTTTAGAAATGTAGTGAGAAATTTTGTCAGAGGGTGCTAAATTTTAGAGGGTAGTTAATGTAGTTTAGAGATTAACTTCCAGGAGTAGATGGAAACTTATTTGAACCTCCCTTTTCCATCTGTCTTTGCAACATGTGGCTCAGTTCTCAGCAAATACTACTGCTTTGCCAGCTGGTTGCACATGAGGTCTGCCAACTGGAGTTGCTAGTGGGATATTGTCAAGCTGGAATTCTACTTTCTTGGACTTGCACAACTAGCTTCAATGTGTGTCTCCTGGATGTACCAAGCTCAGCCTTCACTGTTCTCTGCAACTTCACGGTCTCAGGTACTCAGAGCATAGGGCTTTAGCACTAGATGAGCATCCTCCCTACTCATCAACTGTGTCTTCCCACTTTCTTATCAGCCTTAGGGTGCCATCTCTTTTCTGCAATTTGCTTACCTAGAGAGATTTGCTGTGGCCTGCCTTTATCATCTCAACTATTCTGAAAATGACTTTATACCAATGTATGCTTAACATTAAGTTTTCTTAATATGACTGATGTGGGCTGAACTCCAACCAATGCAATGAACACTATTTTTTCTTAACTTAATGGCTGAAGAGGATATCTTAAATGTGACATAGAAGAGTTTAATTAAGTACCCATAGTTTTACCCTTAAAAATATTGTATTGTTTGGGATTTGTGGGCTCTCTATCTGTATGTTAATATGTCTGATTTTAATTTTCTAAGCCAACAACATGGACCCTAAGAATTCTCCCCAGAATGGAATACATTTTATCCTCTTTATGGAAGGCACCTACAGCACCTGTGGGGGTATCCTTCACATCTGAGTTCCACAGTGTGCATGTGGACAGCAGAGGTAAGATTTCCAAACCAGGCAGAATTAATTATTGGCTGAGAAGTGTTCCTTGCCCATTGCAGAACCTGTTGTCAGATTCTCCAACAAATTGTTGGCTTTGCTAACAAAGTTTTAAAGAAAGACTTAGCTAATTCAATTTATCAATTTTGACTCCAAAGTTTTAATATTTTAAAGAAATCTGAGAAGTGCTGCAAAGCACTTTTGATGCACCTAAGGGAGAGGGATGGTGTCATGGCATGTGGGTATAGTCATATCATATGACATATCAGAATATAGCTCAAGGCCAATGACCATATCAAGTGTTGGCTCCCTGGGGGTGGAGGGAACAGACAGAAATGGCTGAAGGTGAGTAGAACTACTTGGCCATGTCTTTTGATAAACAATTCCTTTCTTCAGACACCAAAGACAACATTTGTAAGGAGGAGACACTAAGGATTAAAACTACATATACCAGGAAAGCTCCCCATTGATATTTCACCCCTACTCTTTGGTCCTTTTCACTGTAGTATTTTGAGTCAGAGTCTCACTAAGTTTCTCAGGCTGGCTTCAAACACACTGTGGGCTTTGAAACTGCCTCCTTCCTGCTTCAGCTTCACACGTGTTAAATTACAGGCTTGTGCCTACCAGCTTAGTTAAAGCATAGCTTTGATGACATTGTTATTATTCTAAAGGTATTGGACTTCATTGTATATCCTTCACTGTTTAGGGCTAAACAGTTGTAGTAACCAAAGAGA